CAAGAACCCTGACACACTTCTGGGAGTAAAAACATGTACAATCATTTTTTAGAAAAGTTAGGCTTTATCTAAGAAGCAGAAACTATATAGTCTATGAGTAAAAAATCCCACTCCTTGGCATGCACCTTAAGAGAAACCTACAGATGTTCATCATGAGACATAATAAAAGTGTTCATAGCTCCATTGCTTTTAAAAGTCATAAGCTGGAAACAACCCAAATGTCTATCAAGAACCAAAATGGATAATTAAATGTGGCATATCTATATAATAATATACAACAATGAAAATGAATAAACTATAGTTACTAACAAAAACAGAGATGAACTTCAATGACAGTATTAAGCAAAAGCAACAGGTCACAAAAGAGGACACACAGTGTAATTCCATTTCTATGAAATACAAGAGCAGGACAAAGCAGACTGCATGCTTTCTAAGAGGTCAAACTATTAAGAATGATAAACAAATGATTATTAGAAAAGTCAGAATAATGGTAAACAGAGAAAGATAATTTAATTGGGGATGCTTGCAATGTTCTACATCTCGTCTTTAGTGTAATTAAGGTTATTTCTTTACATATCAGAGTAACATACTTATGTACTTTATCTCACAATAAAGCCAATTTGGTAAGTGGCAATTTGTTCATACTTCAAACATTCTGAGTATTTATAATATTTAAGAATTATCTGGTCTATTAGCCTAACAGTTCAGCCTTCTAAATCCAATCTAAAAATGTGTAAATGAGTAATCAACATGGACTTGTACTAATCATTTTAAAGTAGAAATCTTAAGTTATCTGAGGCATTGAAATAGCCAAGATAATTCAACGTTCTACACATTAAGACTAATTTGTTCTATTTATAAAAGATATTAATGTACTTGAAAAGATTTCAAATCAGGGAACGGAGGTTCTTGAAATAGTAACTGAATATACTGAATTTAGAAATGCTTTTTTAAATGTTTTAAAAATTCTACTAAGGTTGTAAATGTGACTACACATTATCTAAAAGCTCCTTGAAAGTATTTGCTGAAATTTGCTAAACTCATCAACAGAAAAAAATAAACAAAAAAACAACCCATGAGTTTGACCTTAGAAACTTAAGAAAGAACTAAATCTTTGGATTTATATCCTTAAGAAATCATCTTTTTAGAGCAAACTTCTAAATAATATTTCTCTACCAACTTGTTCAGAATACACAAAACAATTCACATGTAATGCTATCTATTTTTCACATTATATAAAAGCAAACAAAAATACCTATGCCAGAAGATTTTTTTTTTTAATTCTCACACAACACCAATTTATATGATGGAAGATTTTGAGGGTTAATTTTAATTAAAATTTGTCTAGGATTATATTCAAAAACACAAACCACTTGACAGTTGATATGGTGACATATGATACTTTCAAAGAAGTTACTCTTTACTTTTTTGGGGGGAGGTGGGGGTCACAGAGCAATTAACTGCTATGGAGCTCCCAGAAAAGTGTATATAGACACACCACAAAATTCAATAGTCAAAGATCTCTTGAAAAACACTACAGGTTAAGGACACTTAAAGCTCTCCATTATCCTGGTGGCCAATTGTGAAATCAGAGCTTAAGTTATTTTAGACATATTATCCAGCAAAATATAATTGTATGTATTATATTATTATATTCATTTTAAATCAGAAAGGTAATGTCTTTAAGAACAAAAGTTGACATTTTTTTTTCATTTACCACTTAAAAATGAACACAATGCCACTTTTTACATACTAAATAAGCAAAGTTTTGTTTTGTTTAGAAGAATATACTGGCAAGGATAAGAGGAACTGAAACCAGTCTCATACACTGAAGTTAGGAGAATACAGTTATATAACCTTTGTGAGTAACAATTTGGAAATGTATACATAAAGCCTCAACTCTCTGAGGAATATTCAACTCTTGATTAACTCTACTACTAGAAATTTATTCTAAGGAAATAATTTTGGATGTATAGAATTTACAGCAAGAATGATCATCAAAAGCACTATTTATTTATTTATTTATTTATTTTTTGAGACTGAGTCTTGCTCCACTGCCCAGACTAGAGTGCAATGGCACAATCTCAGCTCACTGCAACCTCCATCTTCCAGGTTCAAGTGATTCTCCTGCCTCAGCCTCCTGAGAAGCTGGGATTACAGGTGTCTGCCACCACACCCAGTTAATTTTTGTATTTTTAGTAAAGACAGGGTTTCACCATGTTGGTCAGGCTGGTCTTGAACTCCTGACCTCAGGTGATCCACCCACCTCACCTCCCAAAGTGCTGGGATTACAGGTGTGAGCCACCATGTCGGGCCGACAAAGGCATTCTTTATGATGCCCAACCCTGGAGACAATATAACATGAGCAATAATGGAGGAGTAAATAATGTATAGGATAATGGAAAACTGTAAAAAATTTAAATATATTTAAGATGAATAGTGGCATGAAAATGCTCATGAATCTACTGCTAAGAGAATAAAGGGTCAATTTCTGCATAGCAAATTCTATTTATTTATTTTAAAGGAAAAAGTCTACAAACAGAAAAACAAGACTAGAGGGACATATGATGAATTTTTAATGTGGGGAATTATAAGTATTTTTTTTCTTATCTAAAATTTTAACAAATAGATCAATAATTTATTAGATTATATGCACTCTTTGTTTACCTTGACTTCTGGCCTAATTTAAGAACCATGCAGTATGAGGAATCAATTCTGTAAATTTTATTATTACAGTTGTTGTTTGCCTAAACTATTAAAGGTATTTATTCAACAATTTGTGATAAGAAAAACCAAAGTTGTAGTAAAGGTATGGGCTACTGATGAAAGATCTATAATTAAATGTGGCTGGCCCTCAAAATAAGAAAACAAGTTCCAATTGTTGAAATAAATATGATAGTTATCTTCTGCAGTGGGGATGAAAGGTGATTCTAGTCTGTCATTTGAAATATCACAGATGAGGACTGGCTTCCGTCACATTCAAGGGTTAACATAAATTATGTGGTATTCAAACGTTAGTGTATACAACGCAGCACCCCAATTTAAAATTAATGGTAAAGCAAGATATGTTATAATACATTCTGATCATAATTATATTGAAACAGTGAGATAGATAAGAGACATAAATATATCAAGCTATTTAAAAGTAGGTATCTGAGTGATACTATCACAGGTGATTTCCCCACTTTTTTTTGTTTTTCTATTATTTTTTAAATGGGCATAGATTACATTTTTTTTTTTTTTTTAAGGAGACCAGGTCTCACTCTGTTGCCCCAGTATGGACGGCAGTGGCATGGTCATAGCTCACTGTGTTCACCTTGAACTCCTGGGCTCAAGCAATCCTCCCACCTCAGCCTCTTGAGTAGCTGGGACTACTGGTGCACACCACCATGCCTTTAAAAAAAAAAAAAATTCTTTCATAGAGATGGGGTCTTGCTATGTTGGACAGGCTGATTTTGAACTCCTGGGCTCAAGTGATCCTTCTACCTCGGCCTCCAAAAGTGCTGAGACTACAGGCCTGAGCTACTGTGCCTGGTCTATTACATTTTCTTAGTGAGGAAAAACCCAGAGTGATCCTTTGGACTCTGTGTTCTAATTGCGCAGTCCTTGAAAAGTTACGAATATGTCCTTTAAAAAAGTTTGTCTAGTAAATTACTGAGAAGCCATTATCTCCCCAACCTATAATTAAATAAGTAAAATTTAAAATACAGATATGAGTTATGCCACAGTTCTAATATACTAGAAATAAGTATAGTGGAAAACAACACATAGAAGTTAACTTTTTTGTCTTGAAGCCACTAAATAAATTAACACTTCAGCCTGTAATTTGTTGTTGTTGTTGTTGAGACGGAGTCTTGCTCTGTCCACCCAGTGAGCGCGATCTCGGCTTACAGGAAGCTCCGCCTTCCCGGTTCACGCCATACTCCTGCCTCAGCCTCCCCAGCAGCTGGGACTACAGGCGCACGCCGCCACGCCCGACTAAGTTTTTTGTATTTTTAGTAGAGAGACAGGGTTTCACTGTGTTAGCCAGGATGGTCTCCATCTCCTGACCTTGTGGTCCGCCCACCTCAGCCTCCCAAAGTGCTGGGATTACAGGCGTGAGTCACCGCGCCCGGCCCAGACTGGAATTTTTTAAAGCCCTAATTTAGCATTAGAAGCTCACATATCTCAGGCAATGGAAAAAGAATTAAAAGAAAATTAGTCAATACTGAAGGATAAATCAGGTCATATGCTGACATAAAAATTGATCATGTAACTTGAAACAATATTTCATACTTTTCTTCTAGTGGGAACCAAATGAAAATATACTAACTTTCTAGTTGCCAAATAAAAGATGAATTTTGAATGCTTCCTAAAGAATTCTTTAAATTTTGTAACCCTAATATCTTTACTATGAAAAATGCTCTTCGCTTAATTTACTTTTCAGGAGTCACTCTAGTCTACTGTTTCTGACATGAAATATTTTATTCTGATGACTGAATTCTTTATATATCTAGAAGGAGAAATAATTGTTTACATATAGCTCAATATATTTTAAAATTAAATGTAGTTTTGATTCCGAAACTTGTGGTCAAACGAATTCTTCTCCTTGTATTCACACATGTTGATATTTGGCCTAATAAGACAAAATCACAGAAGTGTAAGAATTAGGGGGTTAAGTTGGTGGCTCATGACTTTGGGAGCCGAGGCGGAAGGATCTCTTGAGCCCAGGAGTTTAAGCACAGCCTGGGCAACATGGCAAAACTCTGTCTCTACAAAAAATACAAAAACTAGCCAAGAGCGATGACGTGTGCTTTTAATTCCAGCTACTAGGGAGGCTGAAGTGGGAGGATCAGTTGAGTACTGAGAGGTTGAGTCTGCAGTGAGACATGTCATACCATTGCACTCCAGCCTGGGTGACAGAGTAAAACCCTGTCTTTAAAAAAAAAAAAAAAGAAAAACAATTAGAGTGGAAAGGGGCTCTAGTGATTACTAGCCTTCCCACAAGAATCCTGCTATGATTTTTTTTTTTTTTTTTTTACTTCTGGATTCCACTTGCTATGTAGTATATCTTCCAATTTAAAAATATATGTTCAGAGACCTTATATAACTATCAATGAAACTTGTTCAGTAAGAGATAACCAATATATACAGACCTGATATATTTTCAGTCGAAAGTAAAGAAATGTGATGTTTTAGTTTTGTCACTATAGACAAATACATAGTTTTTATCGGGTCTTTTGTAAAACTGAAAATAACTTACAAGTACTTTTCCCTTATCTATTAACCTAAGGATCAGGAGATCCTTGTTTGGGAATGATCCATCTAGTCCAACCTTCTAATTTTGCATATAAGATGGTTCTAAATTTAGAGGTTTGATTAATCATGAAAGGGGGAAAAATGATCTTTCTCACATACATTTTATCGACCAATGAGGTGATTCCAGAAAAACTATACTCTGTGAACCAAGTAACCTGGTAAGTATAAACAGTTTAAATCCAATGAAACACAACCTGAAGTGAACTATTTCCACCAATGATAAAAATAAGAAATGTTTCACATTTTAATTTTCTTTAAACCTTTTTTTATTTAGAGATTTTTCTGGTAAGGAGATATACCATAGGAAAGCAATTTCACTGGCAGTGAGGTATGTATATACTCTACCAAAATACTCCTTATTTTAACTGTTTTTAACTTTATTTACATACGAAGCAAAGAATCAATGCATATCCTTGGTTCAACTATAGTATCAGCCATACTACATGAAATAAAATGGTGCTTGCATACAAAAACTTGTTGTTTATAAAGGAATCTGATTTCAGATTAAAAGAACTAATTTGTTTTTGGAAAAAAATTTTAAAAAGAATCACAATTTATCATGACCAAGACACCTGCACCATATTTTCCATTCCTCACAGCACATTTATTTCAGTAATTCTGTTATGTCGGTTCTTAGCATGAGCATAGTGTTACACGATTTTCGTACATATAATCACATCCAAAACAAGTTCTAAAATTTAAATTGTAAACATTCTCATCATATGTAGAAATATTTTAATTGGTGTATTAAGTTTTGCTAACTGATCAAATTTGGAAGATAATATAAATGAGAACGTCTATTCTAAACTGTGTAGTGAGCATTGTTTATTAATTACATTTCTACAATGTTAAATAAAGTAAGAGGCAAACCTGTCCTGTAAGCATGTCAAATTTTAGGTAAACCATTAAAAAGAAACAAACCTGTTAACAAAAGAATGTCTTGCAATAAAGAACATTAGATTTTTAAAATCTATTATGATACAAAAATGTAAAGGGTAAATAGCATCTTTGTTGACAAAGTAGGAGGTAGCATGGATGCACCACTTTATTGTCTGAGAAATGCAACTGGAGTAAAGAATATTTCCTTACCACAAATAATTTCCAGAACTATGTACATATTTCTTTTAGAAATACTTGTTTAAACAAATCTCCCTCCACTTTTTAGTATAAAAAAAACCGTTCCATGTGATTTTAAAAAAAACACTTACACATCTAGATAGAATAGTACTCTGCCCTATTTGAGTGAACAGTCTCAAACTATGAAGTACATGATATTTAATGCCCTAATTTAAGTAAATTTAGTCAGCGATTCTTGGTATTATACAAAACACTAAATACATACAAACAAAATATAATATCTTATTTTTCTATGCAAGTCTTGTGGGGAATAAACAGAGCCTTGATTCTGGTAACACTGCAAAAAACATAATTGTCCAATAAGTCTGTCTATAAGTATCCATGTGCAACAGTTTATTAATGGCTGCTTACATGTACTGCTTTTTTATTGAGTGAACACAGTTAACCAATAAAACTTCATAAACCTTAAAAACACATCTTCCACCCTATATAAAATATATAGACTACTTACTGTTTTAAGTATTCAATTTGCTCTGATGTCATTGTAATTCACTTTCCCCCATTTTCCTGCTTTAGTATTTATAAACAGATAATTTAATGTGGCTTTAAAAAAAAAAGAATTTCAAATTTACATCCAATTCAAATTGGCTATTCAAAAGGTTTCCTGGTTCTATGAAGCTGCTTCGGCCATTAGTAGAGAAAATGAAGTTTCTGTAATGGAGGCAGGCTTTTTAAGTAGTGACGTGACTTCCACCATGCCAGCTCCAGTCCGTGGAAGATTAGCGTTTACAATATGTCGTTGTAAGTGCTTAATCCAGTCTTCCTGAACAGACAAGGGTCCTCGAAAGACTAGGCCACAAAACCTACAGAAAGATAACAGTTCTCTTAACATGACCAATTCTCCTTCTTTAAAACCAATTCACATAAAATCCTAAAACATAAGGAATAAACTTTACTGTATTTTAAAGACAACACTTGATAAAGTTTCTAAATAAAGTCAAATGATTTAATAAAACATCAAAACTCCCAATTCATATGTTTATTAACAGCTATAATAAACTCCAGTAATCTTTGTATAGGTGGGAGCATTATTATTAGGTTAAAATTAACATCTACACATCTTAATTCACTTGAAACAACAACCATTACTCCAAAATATGTCATACTTTAGAAAAGACCCTTCCCCAATTTAGCATTCCTTAAATTGCATTGTGTCTGTGTTTCTTCATGTGTGTTGTGAGTGTGAGTACAGAAGAAGGCGTGACTATGAGGGGAGAGAAAAATGTGTTCCCAATAAGTGAGAACTCAAGATAGCAAAACATCAAACCAAACAAAGTTAAACCATACAAACCAGATAAACACAAGGAAAGCTACTTTTTTATTCTTTTTTATTTTTTCTGAGACAGAGTCTTACTCTGCTGCTTAGGCTGGAGTGCAGTGGCACAATCTCGGCCCACTGCAACCTCCGCCTCCTGGGCTCAAGTGATTCTCCTGCCTCAGCCTCCTGAGTAGCTGGGATTACAGGCACCCGCTACAACGCCTGGCTAATTTTGGTATTTTTAGTAGACATGAGTTTTCATCATGTTGGCCAGGCTGGTCTTAAACTCCTGGCCTCAAGTGATCCACCCATCTTGGCCACCCAAAGTGCTGGAATTACAGGTGTGAGCCACCACACCTGGCCAAGCTATTAAATAAGTCACAGTATAGTAGATTTACATTACTATTAGCTAATGTAAAAAACTTGATTCATTAGTTGTTGAAGTACAGGATATTGTTAGCTGAATTAAGATTTTAAGCCTATCTCCAAAAGTTCATTTATAACTTGATTGTTGAGAATGCACACTCTGCCACAAATTAAAAACCCCAAATGAAATAGCTAATATGTTTCAAAGCAAAGTATGAAGAAACTGATCAGATCCGGCAAAAGAGGTATATACCTGCATCGGAGAATGTAAACCTCGTCAGCACCATGAGGTAATGTTAGCATTTTCTTCTTGCTTCCAGATCTTGACCTTGATTTCTTTTGCTTACAATCTAAGGCTAAAAAGAGGAAGAGAAAGACTTAACATTCCTTATATATTTCAAAATATACATACACGCATATTTTTCTAGAGAGGTCAGACAGACCATCTAAATCAGTTAGAAAAAGTCTGCATTCATTTCCCTTTTCCCTGAAGCATGCATTCAACTTGCTGATTCTGTAATAGCAGTAATATTATCTGTACGGTACAGCAGTATTTTCTGTACTGAAGAATACTATCTGTATTCTTCCTGTACTGCCTTTTCAAATAATGTTTTACCACGCCAAACTAGAACTGAGAAAATGTAACTAAATAACTCGAAACTACTAAATTGGTCAGTTATTACAATAATGGCAATGTTTACTCTTATAATCACATATAATTTTAACATCTGGTTAAATCTTACTTATTTCCAGAAAAATATAACCTTTTGAGATCATTAAATTAAGTTTGCATTTGATTACCGCTCCATTAAGTAGGTCTTATATATTTGGAAAACTTAGTAAGGGAATATGGACAATGTAATTTAAAGCTCAACGAAAAATCAATTTTCATAGTGACTCACTATTAATTCTATAATAATAAATAGCTCTTAAAATTGTATGGTGGCCCTACATTTGAAAGGACAAAAAAAGTTCAACTTTCATTTTTGAACTTAACTTGTATTCCATATACAATAATCAATTATGCAATCATATGTTTTATTTTCCTAGAAAATAAATATAAATCCATATTATTTCATGTAAGTTTACAACTGGATCTCATGTTTTATGCTAACTATTCTTTACATATTTTTCATTTTACATTTTCTCCAATAGCTTATTTTAAAATGTGATTTGAAAAGGTAAAAAAAAAATTATATTAAAATAGACCAAAATTGTATGTGAACTGTTCTTGAAATTTTTCCATTACTTGACTTTTCCTTTATTCTAAAACAACCTAATTTTAAAAAGAAAAAAAAAAGGTTTTTTTTATAGGCAGAAATAGATAGCACATAACATTTTATAGGTCTTTGAATACAGCTACACCATTTCTTTGGACAAAGGGATGATAGCAATCCAGGGTGCTGCTGGTCAATTAGCAGGAAGAGAAGGTAAGAATTTATCTGTAGGGATCCAAGGGGGGAGGGATACAAATGTAACAGAAGAGTTACCCAAATGGCTTTTCTTCCATTATCCTGTCATGTGAAAAATTCCCTTGAAAAATTCTAAGTAAGAGAGAAGGAACTGGCTATTCAATGACTCTGTCAAATGAATTGTTCAAAGTCCAGATTCCAAAAGAATAGATGCTACTATCACAAAACCAGTAAACATAGTTCCTTAGTCAAATGGCAATGCTAACAGAAATGTCATATAGAAAATTCAAAACCACAAGAAACCTAAATTGAAGTCACTGGTATCAGCTTCCTGTCACCTGCCTATTCAAAAGTAAAATCTAGGACACACAGTCTTTTTCTGTTTATCCTTAGAAGAAGAGTCTAATAAGTAAAGAACTACTAGAAGTCAAGTTAGGTATTAAAGAATGGGTAATTCAAAACTAAACAACCAAACTCTGGAATAGAAAAATCTTATAAGGATCTTATTAGTTATCTCAGTCAAGAGCCTGGCATGTAGTAGGAACTCAACAAATACTTCTGTAGTAAAAATAAAGCAAAACCCAGTAATTTAACCATTGATATTTAGACAGCCTAAGAATGAAAATGTTTTACTCCTATTTGATACAGGTAATATTCCTGTACAACACTGTGCATCATTTGTTTAAATATGTTGCTGCAGTCGCACGTACTTCATTATCCTAGATATAAATCACTGACCAGTCCAGCTTATGTAGAGAAACTAGGTTATGCACAACAACTACAAGAGTGAAATACGATATGCTTTGTAACCAGTAGGAAAAACCTTTTTCCTAATCGCTGTGGTAAGCAATCTGAATTTAAGTGGGTTATGAGTAATTCATATACTGGAAATAGAGTTGAGGTAACTCAAAGAGTAACTGCTACTAGATGTCAGCTATTCTTTCCATTTGTAAAGATGGATCCTTGTCTGTGTTAGGCAGAATAGAGCAGGCATTTGGTGTCTCATAAGACTACAGGTATAATCTTACTTTGATGAGCTTGCTGGCTGTCAAAATTGCCACACTGTATTCAAACTCCTTTTAAAATGCAAATAAATTACTGTAGGATACAAATAGAATACATTATAACAACCCTTAAAAATTTGTTCACAGAATGTTAATGTTAGGGGTGTTAAGCAAATTGAGGAAGAAGGGCAGAGGATGGTAGGGAAATATGCAAAAGAACACTTTATCAGTTATAAAGCATTTAAATTTACATGTTGTAATATTTTAAAAATGGAACTGGGTATGTTTATTCTGAAATACAGAAATATTTTTGGTTTTCCTTTAGGGAAAAAAAGAATTATTTTATGGCTTTTGATGCTTTATGGACTGTGGAAATTCTTAAGTTTAGGCTGTGTTATGAATGATCAGATCTAAACTTGAAATGAGAATGCCATCATTTTTGTAGCAATGAATATTTGAAGGTATTATGACCTTGGAAAGCAGGACAACTCAGTCAGCATATGACTGATCGATCATCTCTAGAACCCAGGGCTCCAAAGTTAAGGTTACAGAATCTCAGGCACTGAGAATGCCTAGAAACTTATCCATAAAGTTAAAATATTAAAAATCTGGGATCTTTGGAAATTGAAATCTAAATGCCTCAGTGTTTTAATATCTTCATCAATTCTAGATTATCTCCTGAAATGTTATATTTTTGAGTAGGTGAGACATGAACATATTTTACAATAGTTTTTTCTAATGCCAATATCCAAACTCACTCCTGTGATAGTGCCCATACCTTTGGGAAAATCTGTTTAAAATTGAATATTTAACATATTAAAACTGCACAAAAAGGGGACATCTATATAGGATCCTCTACATAGAAAGACGATTTACACAGAAAATTTCAATAAATGAAAAGGATGAGGTACAAACATGTCTGTTATAACAATATTTTCACTTAAGAGATTTTATTATATCTAGAGGGAAAAGTAGTTTTGTTCTGGACTGTACCAGGAGCCACTACAACATTAAATACAGATCACTAACACATTCAGTTTTAGTATAATGCAGCTCATCAATATCTGCGATAAACAGCCAAAGCTTTAACAGAGTTGTTTATATGAATAATCTGCCAAATAGATAACTTTGTTACACAAAGCCTTTTTTTGTAATAGGATTTTATTTGCACTTGTTAGTGACCAAAACACTCCAAGGAACTTAAAAACAAAAAACCCACACACACTTTTCTCTTTACAAAGTATTTTAAATCTAACATTGTTTCTATAATTTAAATATATTAAAAATTTATTTTTAGAAAGTGTTAATTTTCTTCTCAAGTATAAGCTTCTTTAGAAAGAAACAAATCCAGTCATCCAAACCTTCCTGAGATTACTATCAGTGGGCAAACTGTTTAAGTGATCAATTTCAACCAAAAGACTGTCAAAAATCTTTCAAGTTACCTGATTTATAAAAGATCTAAATTGCTACTGAGAATATTTTACTTATACAGAGAATAAATTGAGCTGTGAGGTAAAATGCAAAAAAAATATATATATATATATATATATATCTTCCAGTAAGATATCTGTCTTGGTCAAATACAAATATGAAAGAGAAATACGATAAACTCATCAGTCCTCAAAAAGAACACCACACTGCTATGCTATGAATACGACGACCAATGATCATGACGACAACAATACGCCAAAGCACTAAACCAGATTGGTGCAAAGCAAATAGATAACACAACACATAAAAATTCGTCTGTTTTCTGAGCCATTATTTAGTTTTACCCAAAGAAGATTAAGAATTTAGTTTTGACTTTGACATTATTAAAATCTTTTGCTCTTTCCACCTTTCTGCCCATTTTATACAATAATTGCTTCAACGAGTTTCACTTTCTTTTTCCTTCACAATATAAATGACCCAAGAGAATGAGAGTTCATAAAAACATCTGGAACTTCTTTGATAAAGCACACCATAACTAAATTAACATTCGCCACCAAAGTATTTTTATTTGTAATCATTCTCACCTGCCCAATTACTTAAAAGCATGTTTAATCCGTTTCTTTTCTAATTGGTTGCTGGTATCTCTAGGACAAAGTGAAACAACTGGGTTATCTATACCCAAAGACAGAGGCACAAGAGGGACGAAAATTTTTTCTCTAAGTGGTTGGACTGTATTAAGTTTGGTGGACAATATTAGCTATGACCTCACTCAGAACTGCAGTAGGAATAAACATGACACAAACAGGTAAACCATCATTCCACCACTATTAAAAAGTTGGTGCTGGAGGTTGTGGTGGCAGTGGTGAGGTGGGAAGAGGATGCACACATGCCAAAGGGTACACAAGTGTAAGATAGAAAAATAAACTCAATTCTTTTTTTTAACCTTTAACTTCAGGGGTACATGTGCAGGTTTGTTATATAGGTAAATTGTCACAGGAGTTGGTGTACAGACTATTTCATCACCCAGGCAATAAGCATAGTACCTGATAGGTAGTTTTTAAAATTATTTCCCTCCTCCTACCCTCCACCCTCAAGGTAGGCCTCAGTCTGTTGCTCCCTTCTTTGTGTCCATGTGTTCTTGTTGTTTAGCTCCCACTTATAAGTGAGAACATTCAGTACTGGTTTTCTGTTCCTGTGTTAGTAATAAATTCAATTATAACTGTCACTAATCCTTCAAGGTTCATAAGCCCCAAGCATATAAAAAGACTGCAAATACCATTTTCTTTCCTTTGGCCTCAACTTAAAAAGAATCAGGGCCTTTTTAAAACAAACAAACAAACAAACAAAAACATGCTAGCTTGTGTAAAACAGGAATGGGGTAGAGAAAGCCAATTGTTGAGAAGTCAAAGTTTCCTTTATTCAGCTTTTATCTTTCTTTCTGTACAAAGTGCCTAGGAGACCAGCTTCATGGGTGTCCAACTTGTGCAGTCACATAGGGAGAGCCCCACA